GTCCACATCCTAGTGGTCATTGCAGTGTAGGCAAGATTCTGCAAACTATTCCAGCTGGGCACACCTCTGTGCCCTCACTGAGTCCCATTTGCTTCCCAGGTGCAGGGTCTGTATAGAGCCTCTTGCAGGATCAGGACCACAACCCACAACTGCTATTGGGCATTCTTTAAAGCAGGCTCAGCATAGTGGCCAAAGAACGACTAGGTATGGGGACTAAACAGTCCTCTCACCAGGATATGTGGTTCCCTGCAGATCGAAATTGAAGCAGGCTGCAGGCCAGTGGAGGAAACAGCCACTACCATGGCCTGTGCTGAATAAGTGGATACACAAGTGACTTCACGCTCCCTAGCTGACAAGCCTGCACCTTCCTGGAGCATTACATGTACGACAAGATGCTCTTGCAGCATGCCCTAAGTTCCCAGCCTGTATAAAAAGAGGGCACTGGGGAGAAAATGTAATTCAAGAACATGTTTGAAAAGTGTAGTGTAGTAGAAGGAGTCATAGAATGTTAAGTAAAAACATTTCTGGGGAATGTTAAGAGAAGCTTCAGACAAAAAGTGAATGAAAGGGAAATTATATTATACTGATGAGCATAGCTCTCGTGACAGAATATAAAATGGCAAAAAGGAAAGAGCAGGATAAAACTGAAGAGGTTAGCGGGAAACTATGGAAAAGAAGAGCACATAGAAGAGCCAAGCAAATTCAGATGTAATGAGGAGTTGGGTGGAAATCATTAAAATTATTTTAAGAAAAAAATGGCAAGGCAAAAAAATAGTACAGTGATAATTACAGACAAAAAGCAGCAAGAATAAAGGTGATGCCTGATGTAGGAAAAAATATAAAATAATAATAATAATAAAGAATCTGACAGATATGTAACTAAACTAACTCCTCAGTTTTAAATGTTGTTTTCCACAAGCTTTATGCTCATGGGGCCAGACACAGTTCCTCTGAAGTCAGCTGAAGTCTTTTCAGTGACTTCAATGGTCACAAGATCAGGCCCTTGGCTAGGAACAACTTCCATGTTCTACAAAGAACCCTAGACTACAGAAGAGCCCACGGCAGCAAAGAGGATCAGAAAGGATTCTTAAATATTCATTACTATTTTAAAGTCCTAGGGCCTGTCTTCAAGGGAGAAATTTTCTAACTAATTTCTAATTTTTTAACGTTTTTAAACCATTTCATCTAAAACTATTGGAACCTTAGCATGGGCCCACTTTTCCTGATCTGGTTTACCACGAGGAAGAGGTGAGAGGGATGAAATTTATTGCAGACCTATAAAGTCAGCATCCAGTATTCAGCTTTAGCCAGTCAATGTCTTTGGAGCAAGCAGACATACAGAATTCATTCACAGATGGAACATTTACTTCCCATGCCTCTTCTTGCATTGCTACGCATGACCAGGAAAAGAAGCATGATTAGATGAGCTAATAGCTCTCTTCTGGCCTTAAAAAAAAAAAATCTATGAAACTAAGAAAGAGGAAATAAATTGCATTTAATATCCCTTCAAAAGGAGCATTACCTTCTTCAATTTATCAACCTTTTAAATAACTACTTATTGAAAAATTTGGATTGGTGTTTAATCAGGTTCTTTAAGTCTAAATCAAAAATCCAGAATCTGTAGCATGCCTACATCCAAAACATTATTTTTCTATATAATTTAGTATTTGCTTGACCAACAGTTATCACAATTATATATCGAACATCTGAATTTTTAAAACCTTTAAAGGCAGCAATTATTGATAAAGAAAAATGGAGATTTTCACAAGAAACTAATTTGGTTAATAAATAAGGCACAATTGTAGCTGATTTTTTTAGATAGAAATAACCTAACATAAGTATCTAGTTTGATTGTAGGCTTCTTCCAAATGCATCCTGCTAAACAAACATTATTATAACGAATGCAGGACACACATAATAAAGAAAATTATATTATGTTTATATTAAGTGAATTTAGTGTTCAGGACAGGTGCAAGATTTATGGGCATTATCCCTTAAACTTGTGGCACATTCGATTTTTGTCCTAACATTCAGTACAGAACATGTGGTGTTTGTTTTGATATTTACAAAATAAAATGAGGGCTTACACAGAAGGCATGTGGGCCCATATGGCACCGTTTTTTCCAGAGGAAAATATGTATCACTGACCCATTTGGAAGACTAAAGCCCCAATCTTGCAAAGACTGAGGCAGGTGGTTAACTTTACATACGAGTAGTCCCATGGAAGTCAAGTGTCAGAGTTAAGCACATGCCCAAGTCTTTGCAGGACTGGGGCCTAACAGATGGTCTAATATACTGCAGAGAATCACAAACCTGGCAGATTTGTTTATTTTTTTACTTTGAACTCTGGCTTACACAACAACAGTAACTAAACAATGAACAACATTATTCAACACTCATAGAAAAAGCTCAGAAAGATGAAACCCATATTTCGTAAACCTATTTCATATGGTTTCAATTTCTGTTAACCCCAAAGTTAAAAAAAATCAGGCCACATGATGTCATGAGATTACATTTTGTTCATGATGTTTAGCCAAACAAGTAAGTTTTGGGTTGTTTTAATTTGTCTTCTTGTTTTTTGAGCCTTCAGGGTAAACTTAGGTCACAATTTCAAGCTTTTCCCTGCAACCACTGGGTTTGTAGTTCAGAGTATTTGACTGAATGCTTAGAACATGAAAAGGAATGGATGGATTTGGGAAGGAGACCATTTTAAAACAAGAAGGCCACTATGAGTGAGTATAGAAAGACTTGTGTCACTATGATAGCTTCGTAAGTCCTAGCTAAATGCATCTAGCAGGGAAACAACGATAATATGGGCTTTTTTCCCCCCCTAAAAAGGCTGAACCTGATACTGTCCTGCCAGTGGGCCTGAGCTCCTCGTCTTATGTGAAACCGATGAGAAGGGAACAGGTTAACTGGTAACTTCTAGAAGGTGAAAGCCTCATGAGTTGCCTTTCCCTCACGTCAAGGGGGAGAGGTTTCTCAAAGTGCTGCAGATAGTGCAGCTTGGGAAATCTATAAAGTATTAGCCATAAACACTGCTCCATAGTCCGTGGATACCACACGTTCAGGGGTGCTTGCAGGAACTCCTGCTGCCATGGGGAAAAAGGCAGGTTCCAAAAACATGATGTCCTTCACCTATCTCTGACTGGCCTGTGGATGACTGAGCAGCAGAGGAAAGTCTGAGTTCTGGAGCAATTCACACACAAGGAAACAATTGTGGGTCACAGAGGCATTCCAGTTTTATCTCTACCCCTGCCTCTGCCTGATTTCCTACTGCTTTTGCTCTCCTCTGCCATCTTACAGGGAAGTGGCATCTGGATTATGTCCAGAGACAATTGAACAGATGGGAAACATACATAGAGGGCAAGACAGGCCTCCAGGGATGCAGGCCATATAGGTACCTAGATAGAGCTATATGGGTTTGTACGATCTGTTTCAAGTGTTAGAATTCACTTTCCTTAATCTAATATAAAAGCAAAATGGTAGCTGCTATATTTTAAGAGATTAGGCAATTAGCTGCTTTATTGCAAGATGCCAAAGAGAGGGTTGATTTGCAAACTTGTCTCAGATTCTCTTTGCAAAGCGCTGTCAAAGTAGAAACATGTTTTGAATATGAATTAGCAGGACAAGTGATTTGTTCTGAATCAGAAATTTTTAGTGGGAATGCAGAGGATGCATGTTGCTTGGCTGACCCTCCATGGCAGTTGGCTGGCATCTTTTCATTTCAATCCATGGAAAGCAGGTGCGCGCACCCCCACCCACACCCCTTCAGAGTTATGTAGGAAAAGGCAATATTCTTGCCGCTTGTCATTGCTTTATGCTATCTTTAGTACTTCACATTCTCCAAGGATATTTGGCAGCAAGTGTGTAGTATTAAATGAATGAATATTCATTGTAAAAGAGACTGTGAAAATGTATGTATTTGGGCAGAGGGAAATTGGTATGGAATGATGGCTTTGGCAATATGGTAACAAGAAGATGCGAGAACTGGCAGTTATGGTGGGATAAATGAGACAATATTTGTTATATTCGTGGCATACACTCAGCAAAGTTAGATAAAAAACATGAATACTCTGTTTGGAAGGTTGCAATGTAACACTACTTTATTTGTTAGACTCCAGAATGATAACACAAGAACCCCAAAACAGAAAGAGACAAAGCAGGCTGCTCTCTAAAACACAGAAGCACAACTTACCCCACTTTACGGTAGGCTGGCTGGCTGCAGATTGACTGCTGCTAGACTCGGATTACACTCTTCCCCATAGAGCACTCCAGCCTGCAAGCTGGACCAGAAAAGCCCCTGAGAATTTAAAGTGATATCATATTTTTAATAGTTTTCAATATACCACAATACTGAAGATGTCACAGCTCAGAAGGGAACATACCACAAGCACTATGGAAACAGAAAAAATTGGAAAGAGCCTAACAGAGCTCCCATGTGAATTCATATTCCCCTTCCTGGCAGTCTTTTTGAGAATGGCTGGTTGCCTGCAACCCCTCCTCTCTCCCACAAAAATCTTGGAAGACAGCCAGCTGGGCCTCTCTCACTTCCTGAATGTCTGGAAGATCTGTCCAGTAACTGCACGGCTGCCCCCAACCTCACAGGAAAGATTTTTATGGAAACAGGCTGCTTGATAGCTACAATTCTGCAGCATCTCACATGATTCCATTTTTACCTCAGTCTCTTTCTTGTATGCAGTCATCAGAGCTCAATGTCCAGGTTCTGTAACCAGATGTTGGTGGCTGTATCAAAGAGATGCTAGGGAAGCTTGAACAGAAATCCCAAAAGGAAAATTATTTAGGTGTGAGAACTTAACCCAAAAAAAAAAAAAATACTGAGAGGCCTACTATTTATTACCTCCAGACTGGTAGAGTGAAACCCAGTGCTGAAAAATGATATTGTACTCAGGAAAAAACTGTTAGGAGACTACATGTTGCTGTTCAAAAATAATTTAAATGTCACTTACTCTGATCCCATCAGTATAGAAAAAGTCAAAATATATTACCATATTAAGAAAAATCTTTGTGTGTGTTTATCCAAGGCAGCAATACTCAACTCATTTCTCTTCCTAACCCTGCAAGCAGATTTCTTCCAGGGTTTGAGTGGTGTCATGTCTGCAGCTGCAATTTGCTAATAGCTTTCCCACATATAATTAGTTTTGCATCACTGGAATTCACTCTGTTGGTTTGGTAATAAGCTTCTTACTCAAGTGCCTCTGGGTCACACACTTACATGCACTTTCTCTTCAATCTTTCACTGTGCTGTGAGGCCATCTTTCTGATTTTAACTGTGCAACCCTAGGAATGCATTGACATACCGTTGTTTTTTTTCCATGGTGGGGGAGAGATTGTTTGTTTGTTTGTTCTGGCACCCTAAGTAGTTTTGGTTCCCCCTTATTAAAGAAACATAGAAACATAAATTTAAAAAAATTAAAAAGGAGGCAGAGATAAAAATGATGACTGGTGCCAGCTTATTTTGTGCATAAATCTGCTCATATTGAATTCATTAGAGCCAAGATTTTCAAGACCGGATATTGACCAAAGGAGCCTGTTCAAGCTACTCAGTACTTTGCACTTTTGAAAAATCAGGCGACTTACGTCTATTTCTAGGAATAGATTTAGGAGCCTAATTTTGAATTTTGAAAATGTTGGCCAATGTCTACTTGTCTGCTCGTTTGGGCTCTGACTGGAATCAATGGAACTATCATTGATTTCAAAGGGCTCTAAGCCAGGCCCATAATTTTTGTTGGCATTTAGATACATACTGAACTGACCAGTGGATCATAAATACCTAGAACAGTGTTTCTCAAACTGTGTTCCGTGGAACACTGGTGTTCTGCACGATGTGAATAGGTGTTCCGTGAAAGAATCATAATTTTAAAAAAGGGTCTTTAATTTTAAATTTGGCATATTTGAAGCGTAGTTTACAACTCTTTTTGACTGACTATAATTTAACATAAAACTCTTTTTCCAGTTATTGATAGATCTCGTATTGAATATCATGGCATAAAGAGAACGGGGCATGCAAGCATGTTGACGTCTACCCCTTTTGGACACGTTTCAGTTAGTGACATCATACCCCTTCCGCTTGAGGCTGCGTGAACTGCAGTGGTATGCACACACCATTCTCTTTATGCCATGTTGAATATAACATATTCACTCAACACGTTCAAACCTGTGGGTCTTTACCGTGTGTGCGATAAGCACAACTAAACTAGCTTCCCTCGAAACAATATAAATATTTGTGACAAACAAAATTTGACAAAAATCAGTATTTCTAAATATTGTTACTAAACCTAATCACCATGGATTTGTGGCTAAAAGAAGGAACTTTGAAACGAAAAGCAAGTTCTTCTGGTACTCCAACTGTGGCCGAAATAAGCGAGCAAAATATTGAGACACTTCAAAGTGAGGATGAACAATCGCAGTCTTTTGTTGCCGAAAAATCTGTTAGTACTAGTGAGTTATCCAAGGTGAAAGAATTTCCACCGAAGTATATCAAAAAACAAGAAGAAGCAGGTGTTAAAAGACCGAAACGAAAGTATGATGAAAGTTATTTGTCTTTCAGTTTTACGTGTGTTGGAAATAAAGATGTTCCTGATGCGCAGTGCGTCGTGTGCAACAAAATACTAGCAAACAGTTCATTGGCTCCTGCTAAACTTCGTAGGCATTTGGAAACCAAGCTGAATACCAAGACAAAGATATCAGTTTTTTCAAGAGGAAGTGTGACTCACTTGGAAATTGTAAACTTTCGATGATTAAAATTGCTAAAACAAACAGACAACAAAAGTGCAACAAAGGCATCTTATCGAGTAAGTTACCGTATAGCGCTTGCCGGAGAAGCTCACACTATTGGAGAAACGCTTATCAAGCCTTGCACAAAAGATATTGTAATGTGAATGTTGAGCGAGCAGTCTGGTAAAAAAATTGATGCTGTACAGTTGTCAAATAATACTGTTGCACGCCGTATTAAAGATCTTGCCAATGACATAGAAAAAGAGCTAGTTTGCCGCCTGAAAATTTGCCATGAGTTTTCATTGAAGCTAGATGAGTCCACTGACGTTTCAGGACTTGCTGTGCTACTAGTATTTGTTCGATATAGATTTAATAATATTATTGAAGAGGACCTTCTCTTATGTGAATCTCTGCAAAGCAACACAACTGGAGAAGAAATATTCAACCGCATCAACAATTTTATCAGAAAGCATGAAATTAGTTGGGGAAAATGTATTGATGTATGTACTGACGGTGCTCGGGCAATGATCGGGAAGATGAAGGGAGCTGTAATGCAAATCATAAGTGTGGCACCTGAAAGCTCTAAGAGCCGTTGTGTTCTACACAGACAAGCACTTGCACTTAAAAAAAAGTACCAGCATATCTGAAAATTGTGCTTGATGAAGCAGTACAAATTATCAATTTTGTCAAATCTCGACCACTTCAATCCAGGTTATTTAAAATTTTGTGTGAGGAAATGGGTAGTCAGCACAAAGCGCTTCTTTTACATATGGAAGTGAGGTGGCTATCTAGAGGAAAAGTGCTTGTGAGGCTTTTTGAGCTTCATAGTGAACTACTGGTATTCTTTACTTCAGATAATTCAGGACAAAAATTTAATGACTGTCTGACAAATTCCTCATGGCTAATGAGACTTGCGTATTGTTGTGGAAAGAACTACCATGCGTTGTGTTTGGATCAGAATCGCCTGAGGTCCCTTTATTTACAAGCATGCAAGGGGGGTTACCAGCGAACTGGCAGTCCCCCCCGAATACAGATTTTTCAACAGCTTTTATAGCAAAAAAACACAATTAATAATACACACTTCCTTGTTAACATTATTGCCATAATTGGAATACATTTTCCATAAAAGGGAAAACAGCACAGCCAGCTTTCCTGTTTTTTGCAGTTTGCCCTTTTTGGTTACAAGCTTCCCCTAACACTAGCAGTGGGCAGTTATGAATCATAAACCTGGTGATTATAGATAGTTCTGCTTTTGTACTTTTCCTTCACCCTGCCTTCAAAAACCCCCGCTCTCAAACAAAACCCTTCTTCCAATTAACTTGACTAATGATCAGGTCTGAACCAAAGTTCAGGCCTGAGTCAATCAAAGTTTAGGCCTGAGCAATTTTTCCACTACAGTACCTTGCAGATATTTTTGTAAAATTAAATGACATTAATCTGTCGCTGCAAGGAAAGAATGTGACCATTTTTACTATAATGGATAAAATTTCGTCATTAAAAAAGAAACTGGAATTCTGGGCATCTTCTGTAGAACAGAATAACTTCGACTGCTTCCCTACAGTACATGAATTTCTGACTGAAATAAATTCTACAGTCCATGAAGAAGTTTCCAGCACCATTTTACAGCACTTACGTGACTTGCAGACCTCTTTATTAGAATATTTTCCTACAACTACTGATGATAATGCTTGGGTTCGAAATCCATTTGTAATTACAGCCAAATCAATCGGCTTTACTGCACACACTTATGAAAGCCTAACTGACTTAATTTCGGACTCTGATTTGAAACAAAAGTTTAAGGATCTTCCACTGAATAATTTTTGGAGCAGCCTAATAGAAGAGTACCCTAATGTGGCTAAACGTGCAGTTTGAGTGCTCCTTCCTTTTGCTACAACTTATTTGTGTGAGACAGGATTTTCGTATTATACTGCAACAAAAACCAAATATAGGAATAGACTTGATGCTGCGCCTGACATGAGGATTCAACTTTCCAGGATTATTCCTAATATTAAGCGAATTTGTGATAGAAAAATGCAGAAACACCAATCCCATTAAATCCAAATTTGTATTTCTGTTTATAAAAATAGATTTTCTTAGTAAAAAAATAATTTGTTTGGTGTTTGTGTATATATAAAAAACAGTTTGTTTTAAGTAGAACGATGTTTTTAATTTTGACTCTTGCACTTGATTTTTGTATTACTTCATACGCACTTTCCAGTTAGAAATTGTTAGTTCAAGTTATTTTAAATTTGTATTTTTGCTTTGTTTTATAAAATAAAATATATTTGAGCATAAATAACACAATTTTTTATTTGAAAACCAAACGACTACAAAATAATATTTTAAGTGTTCCATAATAGGCTAAAAAGTGTTCCGTGGCCAAAAAAGTTTGGGAAACGCTGACCTAGAAGGATATTCCAACATTTTGGTTATCACTTTAAATCCTTCTCTTTCCTCTTCCTGCCTTCGCATTTAAATCACACCCTGGACTGAAGAAGAGGTGAACAGATTGCATCCTTGCAATGTGTTACCTTTTATTTTCACACTAATCTGATTTTGTTCCCTGACTCCAGTGATAGGACTTCCTTATAATGTTCACTGACTTCTCTCTGGGACACTGAATACGGTTAGGATTTTCCATAGCTCTTCCATACAGAGCAATCCTAGGTTTTATTAACTTCAGGAAAACCTAAGGAAAAGGATCTCCTTTTGGTTACATCATCATTTTTTCCTGATCTTGTTAACATACTAACCAGCTCTATATTTAT